CGCCCCTGCACCAGAAATGTCCCACATTCCTTAAATTATTGTTCCTGGCAAATAGTTCCTCAATATAAAAGTCCTTTGAAATTTGGTCTTTGGGGTTTTGTTTCTTAGAGCCTATCTGGGCTGTCACAGAAGAGAAACACTTGTTCAAACAGCCCTTTGTTATGTGCCCAGAGGGCAACTGCTGGCATAAATGACTGCCAAGCAGCCGAGTGTGGGAGGCGTGGTAAAGAGACAAGGACGGTGCCCTGGGGAAGGGGATGCAGCACCCGGGGCAACAGCAAGAACCACGGCAGCCACACAATGCCAGGCTCCGTGCCGGTGCTTTATACCCAGTGATGAGCTTGCAAGGTAGGAGACCCATTTTATAGAAGTGGAAACTGAGGCTCAGAGAAGCTAAGTAACAGGGTCCACATCATCCAGCTGGAAAGTAGCAGAGTTGAGAATCAGACCTTTATCATTATAACATGTCCCTCTTTGTTCTGACTTTGAACAAATATCTCCTTTGTCTGATATTAATATAGCCATTCCAACATTCTTATGATTAGTGTTGGCCTGTATGTCTTTTTCCATCTTTTTACTTTTGTCATATCCATGTCTTTACATTTAAAATAATTTCTTTGTAGACAGCATATAATTTGGTCTTAACTTTTTTAACCAGCCTGACAGTCTCTGCCTTTTAACTGACATGTTTAGACCATTTACGTTTAATGGTATCATCCATATTTTTGGTTTAAATTTACCACCTTGATGTTTGTTTTCTATCTGTCTCATCTGTTCTTTGTTCCCTTCTCCTCTTTTCCTGACTTCTTTTGGGTTAGTTGAGTATTTTTTCTTTTTTTAGTCTTCATTTCATCTCTGTTGCCTTCTTAGCTGTATCTCTCTGTTTTATTTTTAGTGGTTGTCCTAAGGCTTAAAATATGCATCTTTAACTTGTTTAAGAAAGCTTAAAACAGTATGCTTCCATTTCTCCCTCTGGTCCTTCATACAATTGTCAAACATTTTACTCCTGTCTGTATTATAAATGTCACAATACAAACTCTTTCTAAAAAATTTAAAAATGAGTTTATATTTACCCACATTTTTACCACTTCTGACACTCTTTGTTCCTTTATGTAGATCTAATTTTCCATCTAGCACCATTTTTGTCCTACTTGAAGAACTTCCTTTCATATCTCTTATCATGTAGGTCTTCCAGAGACAAATTCTATCAAAAACGTTTTCACAGATATAGAATCCTTCATTGACAGAGTTTCCATTATCTTCCAGCTTGCGTTGCTTCTAATAAGAAGTCTGTGATCATTTTCTCATGTTCCTCTGTTTTCGTTCTCCAGCTGCTTTTAAGATCTCCCCTTTACGATTGGTCTTTAGAAATTTGATTATAGATACACCCAAGTGTGTGTGTGTGTGTGTGTGTGTGTGTATCTTGTTTGGGATTCATTGTGCTGCTTGGATGTGTGGATATATAGTTTTGATCAAATTTGGAAAGGTTTTGGCCATTACTTCCTCAAATACATTTCTCTGTTCCTCCCCATGCTCTGGAATTCGATTTACACGTGGAGGTCCTCAGCGTCCCCACCCCCCCAACACTTCCTGCCCAGGAGGCGTGGGTCCCCTGGGGTGGAGTGGACGGCTTCAGTGAAACAGCCACCAAGACCCTCCATCCACACACCAGCAGCACCTGGCATCACAGCCTGACAAGATCTGCACACATCTGCAGACCCCGGGGCGGGAAGCCTGGTCTGTGACGCCAGCCAGGAATTCGTCCTTTGAGTCAAACTTCGAGGCTCAGGACACAGATCTGAATAGAGGTTTTCATGTAGAACTTCATAAAGTTCCTTTTACACAACCACCCTTTCTGTTCCTTCTTGTAAGAAGAAGACACCATCCCACAGCTAGAAGGACATGCAACTAAGATATACAACTATGTACAGGGGGAGTTGGGGAGATAAAAGCAGAAAAAAAAAAAGAGATTGGCAACAGTTGTTAGCCCAGGTGCCAATCTTTGGGGGGAGAAAAAAAAAGAAGACACCATTTATGGTATGCTAACCATGTGCCCAACCCTGGGCTAAGCACAGAAAACTAGCTAGCACATTTAATTCTCACAAGAACCCTGATGTAAGTATTATTAATTACACGTAATAGATGAGGAAACAGGCTCAGACAGGTTAAGTAACTCTCATAAAGTCACACAGCATGTAGACAGTGGAGCCTGGACTCAAACCCAGAACAGTGTGACATCATAGCCCGTGGTCTCTGTTACCCAGCTCTTGGTAGGATGGCTGGGTGAAGGCTCTGCGCTCAGACCCGCAGTCTGTGCTGGTCCCTTCCCCAACCAGGAGTGACTGGAAGAGGGCAGGACAGAAGCAGCCCGAAGTGGGGGAGGGAGGAAACTTTTATTAGCTTTTTGTTCTGGTCCTAGAAGTAAACCTGTTTGTTTTAGATGATTGGGAAAGTACAGAATAATACAAAGAAGAGAGTGAAGTCACCGCAAATCCCTGTCTGAGGGCTGATAGAAGGAACACAGAGCCGGGCCTCTGCCCCAAACACCTCCCCACCAGCCTGCCGCCGAGACTGCCGTTTTCCTCGGGGGCTCGTTCCTCCACCACGAGGGCCTCTCACAAAACATCTCGTCCGAGAACAGCTCACCGGGACCCCTGACGAGGGCCGTCCCCGAGAGCAGACTCCTGCTTCAGACTCACGAGGGTCCGGAGGGAAACGGGAGAGATCACGGGTGGGCCCGGGGAGGAGAAGAGGGCCAGGCAGCAAGCTCTCCCTAGGATGGGGTGGAATCCTGCTCGCGCCCAGCTCCCCAGGGAACAAAGGACGTCTGGTGACAGTGTCAGGGCTACCTGGGCTGGGGACAGGAATGAAAGGGGAGCAGACAGCTCTTGCAAGAAACTGAGCCTCATAATGGCCCTGTATGGGTCATCGGGGACGGGAGCTTTAGGGGAGACAAGCGGGTGGGCAGAGCGCGCACTGGCCAAGGGCAGGAAGGGGAGAAACTGGGCAGAGCCAGGAGGCTCCAGGCAGGACCCCAGGCAGGGAGGAGGTGCACAGACCACCCAGCCTGCTTCCTGGGGGCCAGGGGAGTGGGGCGGGGGCAGGGAGGCAGCCTTGAGCCTGGATCCAAGTAAGAGGTCCCCCCCAGGGCTCCCCAGGCCTGTCGGCAATGTCCTCTCCGGGACGCCCAGCGGGAAGCACGGGCCTTTCCAGCAGGCCCCTCAGGCAGTCAACGGAGAGAGGCAGGAGAGAGGGGACACCACCCCTCCCTCCAGGCCTCCTGGTGGGAATCTTGCTCCTCCAAGAGCCGGGAAGCCATCTTTTCTTCTCCCACTTTTTCTCTTGCACTCGCTGTCACACGCCTGTAATCCTGGGGCACATGTAACGTTGCATCTGCTTTTTCACATCCAACACGGTACCCCAGACATCGTGTCGTGTTTCTGCATAGCCTTTGCCAGGATCTCCTGGGCTCCTTTTTCCTTCACAGGGGTCCTTTTAATCAACACACAACTCGGGGCCAGCCTGGTGGCACAGCGGTTAAGTTTGCACATTCCACTTCGGTGGCCCCGGGTTCGCCAGTTCGGATCCTGGGTGCGGACATGGCACCGCTTGGTAAGCCATGCTGTGGTAGGCGTCCCACGTATAAAGTAGAGGAAGATGGGCACGGATGTTAGCTCAGGGCCAGTCTTCCTCAGCAAAAAGAGGAGGATTGCCAGCAGTTAGCTCAGGGCTCATCTTCCCCCCCCCCCCAAAAAAAAAACCAACACACAACTCCCCACGGAGTAGAAAGACCCAACTGGCCGACCCGATTCCCAAAGGCCTGGTGCATAGATGGTTTCTAGTCCCTCACTGGTGTCAAGGACCCAACTGCCTACGGTTTTGTTTTGCTTTTTTTCTCTGAAGCCTGGGGAGTCAACACTCTCCAAGCAGCAACTTCCCAGCCTCCCCTCCCCGCCCAGGGGTGTCCAACTCTGCCGGTGTCGCCACCTCCCCAGGGAGAGCTGGCCCAGGCGGGGCCTCCTTCATTCATTCATTCATTCATTCACTCACTCATTCATTCCACAGCAATTATCCAGCACCTCCTGTGCACAGGCCAAGCCACGCCCTGGGGGTGTGACTCCCAGAGGAAGAAGACAGCAAATAAGTGGGCAATTCTAAGTGAGGAGGACGGTGCTCTGAGAGCAAAGAGGGGCTCCTCACCCTGCCAAGAGCTTCCCAGGGAACACGCTGTCTAAGCTAAGAAAGGGAGAGAGATGGAAGGCAGCTAGGAAAGCAGACAGGGCTGTCCGGGAAGAGAGAAACAGTATAGGCCAAGGCCTGGGGAGGGAGAGAGTGCACCCCTCCAGAAGCACTAAGGATTCCCCATGTGGACAGAGCCCCAGGCCAAGATGGGACAAGGCAGGAAAGGAGGCGAGGAGGTAGGAGGGAGCAGGCGCCAAGAGCCTGTACGCTGTGATAAAGGGACAGTCATTACCCTGGGGGTACTAGGGAGCCATTGAAGGTTTTTAAATAGAGGAGAGACCTGATCACACTTGCGTTTTAGTTAACCCATTCTGCCCTCTCCCGTTCTTTCCCTGGAGTGTCTTGGGCACAAGGGCAGTTCAGGAGAACTGGGTGCCTCCTGAGTCAGAGTTGCTCTGAGGGACCTAAGGAAATCATTGTGGGGCCTGAGGGGCGATCAGGGACCCGGGGTGAAGGACAGGCCCTAGCCAGGCTCCTGATGAGAGACCCTGTGGAGAGCAAGAACCAGGCACTGAAGGACCCCCAGCCGAAGTGCATCCCCAGCAGCTGTGAGAGCCGAGGGCCAGGTCTCAGGATGCTGGGCTGTCCCCAAGCGCCCTGTCCCCTTCCGATATCCCCACTGGGGATCCTAACGGCCCAGCACCCCCCAGGCCAGCCCTGCCCTGGACACTCACACTCCGGCTTCTCATCTGCAAGGCAGGCCCACCTGCTCCGCCCTGCGCAGGGTTGCCATGGTAACCGTGAGGCCCTGGGATTCTCGCTGAGGCTGCAGAACGGCGGTGAGAATCCTGCCTGAGCCGAGCGCGGGAGTGTATCCCGGTACTCCCCACGGATGGAGAGCCCCCGGCCCCTCTGCTCTTCAGGATGTAAGACCAAGGGGGCTGCAGGGTTGTCAGGAGTGTGCTGGGGGAACGGGGGGACCAGCTCCGCTGAGTCACAGCTCCGCCCCTTCTCTGGGCCACAGGCTGACCCATAACCGTGGACATCTGCTAAGAGGGGCAGGACTCACTGGGACCCTTCTCAAATGCCTGAAACACAAAAGTCTCCAGAGTCCTTCCTCTACGGATGGTCTTAGAGCAGTAACAGAAATGCCTACCATGCACGGAGCCCCACGGAGCACTGCGCTCCGGGCTTCGCACCACAGTGTGGCCCAGCGCTCGCCACGGGGCTGGGGAGCACCTGCTTCCTCATCCCCACCGTTTGCTGTTGTTGGTGCCATGGAGTTAATTTCCAGCGACCCTGGACAGCAGAGCGGAGCCCTGCGGTCTTTTTGCGCCCTCCTCTCACCTTCCAGTGCTCTATCAGACTCCGCTCCCGGCTTCATAGGGTCTTCGAGGTCATTTTTTTCGGAAGTGGGTGGCCAGGTCCTTTTTCCTAGTCTGTCTTAGTCTGGAAGCTCCGCGGAAACCTATTCACCACGGGTAACCCTGCCAGTATTTGAAATCCCAGTGGCATAGCTTTCAGCATCACAGCCACAGGCAGCCGCCACAGTATGACAACCAGCAGACGGGGGGTGTGGTTCTCTGACCGTGAAACAAACCCGGGTCACAGTGGTGAGAGTGCTGAATCCTAACCACTGGAGCACCAGGGCTGGCTAGCCCCATTGTGGAACTCTAGGCTTGGAGAAGGCAAGTCATTGCCCCAAGTCATGCAGTCAGTAAATGGAGCATCAAGGAAGGCCCAGCTCAGCATAAGCATCCTCTTTAAGAGTCACTGATGAATGATTATCCGATGGCAACCCACTAGACACTTCCTCAGATGGGGAGCTCACTACCTAGAAGAATAGCCCTTTGCATTGTGGGGGAGCCGAGACAGACCGTCCTTCCTGGCAGGGAGCAGAAGCCGGCATCCCAGAGCACACCTCCCCTGGACCCAGGCGTGCCACCTGGGACCTCGCAGAGCCTCGCATCCTTGCCAGGCAGCAGCCCCCGGGGCAGTGCCCTCATCCCCCACCGTCCTGGAACGGCCCTCCGCACCTCTAGAAATTCCTCCATACAGAGCTGTCAGATGGCTGATTAATTGACTGATCGGTGTTTGGGGCTCATTCTGCAACCAGACACGGGGCTCAGCTTCCCATCAGTGTTGTCTCAGTCGACAGCAGGGGCCAGGGGCTGTGTCCCGGCCCGAGGTCAAGTTCACTGTCTGTACCTGGGTCAGAGATCTGTGAGCAGACTCTTCTGCGTGCAAAGCTTCCAGGCCTTTCCTGGGGTCATGCTGTAACCTTGGCCTCATTAGCACGCGACTCTCACCAGCCGGCTGGGCCCATCTGGTTTCTTACTAATCGGAAAGTGAGCCAGAGGAAGCAGCCTCCTCGGGAGCAAGGAGGCTTGCGTGGAGCAGCCTGCCAGGCGAGCCGCCTCCGCTTCCCCGCAGCCCGGGAAACAGCCTGCCCTCCTCTTGGCGGCCTCTGGAGCCTTCCCTCACGCCCAGACCACAGAGCTCTGGCTGGTGACCAAGCAGTGCTTTCTGTGGGGACGGAGGGGAGGCAGGTGGGAGGAAGAGCTGGGGGGAGGGGCGTGGCAGGGAGCAGAGGAAGTGGTTGTCGTGAGGTCATCCCGGGTCCAGCTGTGCCCAGCTGTTACACCTGCCTCCTTCCTTTGGGCAGACCAGTCTCGTTTCGAGTTCTGCATGCCTTTGCACAGACTATTCTTGTTCCATAAAAAGCCACTTCCGTCCCAATTCCGCATAACCAAAGTTCACTTTCCTAGCCTTCATGGCCCATCTCAGGTGCCACCTCCTCCACCAAGCCTTCCGTGATCCCCTCAGCCAGAATAGACCACTCCTCACTCTGATTTCCTTGTTGGAGCTATGGGTGGGCACATCTCATTTCTGCTAGACTGTGAGCCCCTTGAGGGCAAGACCCAGGTTTGATTCAGGTCTGTATCATTCGTAATGCCCAACTCTTGTACATATAGCCAATTTTTATTGGGATTATAATGGTTTATAACACTGTGTAATTTCGGGTGCACATTATTGTTTATCAGTTCCTGAAGACACTTCATCGTGCTCACCCCCCGTAGTCTAATTTTTATCCATCTCCATACATATGTGCCCCCTTCGTCCCTTTCGCCCACTCCTCAACCCCCTTCCCCTCTAGTGACCATGAATCTGTTCTGTTTACCCACGTATTTGTTATCTTCCACATATGAATGAAATCACAAACCATTTATCAGACAAGGGGTTGATCTCCAAAATACATAAAGAACTCATACAACTCAACAACAACAAAAATAACCCGATCAAAAAATGGGCAGAGGATATGAACAGACATTTTTCCAAGGAAGATATATGGATGGCCAACAGGCACGTGAAACAATGCTCAACATCACTAATTATTAGGGAAATACAAATCAAAACTACACTGAGATATCACCTTACACCTGTTAGAGTGGCTATAATCATCAAGACAAAAAACAGCAAATGTTGGAGAGGATGTGGAGAAAACGGAACCCTCACACACTGCTAGTGGGAACGCAAACTGGTGCAGCCACTATGGAAAACAATCTGGAGATTTCTCAGAGATCTAAAAATAGAAATACCATACGATCCAGCTATCCCACTACTGGGTATTTATCCAAAGAACTAGAAACCAATGATCCAAAGAGACTTATGCATGCCTATGTTCATTGCAGCACTATTCACAATAGCCAAGACGTGGAAGCAACCCAAGTGCCCAACAACTGATGAATGAATAAAGAAGATGTGGTGTATACATACAATGGAACACTACTCAGCCATAAAAAAGACAAAATTGTCCCATTTGCAACAACATGGATGGACCTGGAGGGTGTGATGTTAAGCGAAATAAGCCAGAGACAGAAAGAAAAATACTACATATTGCAAATTTAAGGAAACTTTATTTATTAGATGGAAGGATACGCGGATGGAGGAATGCATTCATGAATGGAAGGATGGTATCAGAGTCATGGGTTGAGCTCCCCAGGAAGCAGACCCCGAGGCAGAGTTAGGGTCCAGGGTGTTTATTAAAGAGCGCCCTTGGGATCCACATCTGTGGAAGGCAGAGGAAGGAAGCAGGATCAGGAAGAAGGGAAATTAAGCTGCAGGGCAGGCCCAACAACAGCCTTGGCTGACACCATGGGGAGCTCTGGAGCAGGAACAGACCTTCAGAGTTGTTCTGATGGGTCAAGATGCTCAGGCCTTTATACCTACACATCCATCAGTCATCGGATGTGAGGTGCCCAGGGACGTGAGCTGGCTTGGGCAAGGCAGCTGTCTGTAGCTGAGAGAATCCTTGAAGGAACCGACCTCTAATGGCTCTTTGACACCAACACTCCTAGCAGTTGGGGCAAAAAGTCCTTCATTGCAAGGGGGTCTGAACAGCACATCACAGTGTCCACCACAGATAGACATGATGGACGGTGGATAAACACATAGTTGGCTAGATGGACAGTTGGATATACAGAGGATGGATTCATAGGTGATGTGAATGGATGACTGGATGAGTGGCCATCTGGATAATGGATGGATGGATGGACAGATGGACAGTTGGGTGGATGGGTATCTTGATGATGGATGGATGGATAAATGTATGGTGGATGCACAGAGGCATGGATGATGGATGGAAGAATTCATAGATACATGAATTTGTGGATGATGAATGGTTAGGTGGACGATGGGCAATGGATGCATGGGTGCATAAATAGATGATGTTTTCTTGACATTTCATGTCATTTAAGTAACTAGACGCTCCTAGCTACTCACCTACTTCTTCCTTCTCCCTTGGACAGATTCAAGGAGGAAGCCCAAATAGCAATCTTGGGGAAGGAAATGATCTAGGGGCTGAAGAAGAACGCTCCAGCATCACCACACCACATGTGGGGGGCTCTTGAGAACTGTCACCTGGATCTACAGCCCACGCCTATAACTTATCAAGACAGATGTCCCGACTGTCCCATGACAAGCAAGATGGTGCTGAGATTAGCAAGTCGGCGGCCCCATGAACACCGCAGGTCCACTGTGGATGGAAAGAGTACCCACACCGCCAAGAGGAAGGGCAAGTCTAACTCCAAGGTGGGGGCCTTCCTCCTTCCACTGAAGACCTAGCCCATGCGCTCCCTCAGGCCATGTCACCCTTTCATCTGGGGGGACAGGACTAGCTTCTGTTGATGGTAGCACAAAGCCCCTCTTTATACTATGGGTTTTCGCCCCACCCACTGCCCTTGTATTGACCCAGCCAGAGGGAGATGCTCCCAGGGTAAGCTCAGGACTCAGAACAGCATTGAGGGGCCCCAAAGATCAGGAGCATCCATCAAGGGTTGGTGACAAGAATTGACCAAGGAAGCTTATTGCCCCATGGCATGGGCATCTTTCACACCCAGCAGGACAGAGCCTGTGGCATAATTCAGAGAGAGGAGAGGCCCACGTCTGCATACGGGGAGCCCCAAGCGTGGCTGTCTGTCCCACTCTCCCTGAGCCATGCTCCTCCTGGCTTAAGATTCTCTTCTTCCTCTGCAGGATGCCCTTCCAAAGTCAGGGCTCCTCCCCTGCAGGGCTGTGAAGCTGGGTCTTCTCTCTTCTCAGGAGCCCGAGATAATGGAATATGAGGCAGATAATGGAATAAGGGGCAGAGGGAAGCAGGGAAGTCACCTCACCTAATTCCCTGTATGTTGTGAGGACACTCTGCACAGCCTCCAGCCTCAGCTCACACAGACTCTCAGTGACACACCCGCGACTTACCTGGGCAAGCTTTTCCAGTCTAGAACTGCTTTGATTGTTTCACAATTCTTCCTCTCACCCCACCTTCCTGTCCCCCATCTCTGGGGCTTGTGGGCAGAAAGAACAAGCTGGATCCCTCCTAAAAACAGAAGCCATTCTAGCATCCCCAGTAACTTCTTCTCCAGGCCACAGACTTCATACACCCTCCGTCATGCCCTAAGACGTTTCCCGCCTCCTGGCCATCCTAGGCCCCCTCCTTGGAATATGTTCTAGTTTATCTCCTTCTGAGCACCCAGTAGAACTCAGTACTCCCAGAATGGCAGACCAGACCAGAGTCAAACGGAACTCTCCCCTCCCTATTCTTCTATTAATCTAGGCCCAGACCTTGGCACCAGCTTTGGCGGCCACATCCTACGGTTGATTCATTATGACCCCACTGACAGCTAAAAGCCTAGGTCATTCTCATCTGTGCTATGATGATCTCTCTACCCTTCTATTCAGCAATGCCCTGGGGGCCCCTGTGGGGATGCAGTTACAGGGCCCCTCATTATTTCTGTTCAATTTCACCTTGCTAGGTTTGGCCCATCACTCAATCCCGTACAGATCTCTTTAGATCCTGGTTCTGTCACGAGAGGAGCTTTTCATCCCCCCCAGCACTGTCTTCTGCCAGGTTGATGTGCCCGCCATATCCTTTTAGGGGGTTAGAGGAAGGGCATTTCCTCCCCCATTGACCCGCTGACCACCTGTTGTACCGATCTCAAAAATAACCCCCAATGAGCCCACCTCTTCATATCAATGTCCTTGTATCATGCCCTCTCACACTGTTAGCAGGATTGGTCTGTGTGGCCAATAGTATACAGCGGAAGTGGCAATAATTCACTTCCCAGATTCCAGCTGGGGCTCTCTCCCTCCCTCTCTTTCTCTCTCTCTCATCACTCTGGCGGAAGGAAGCCATCATGAGCAGCCCCAGGGTTTTGGCAAAAACCAAAGCCTTTTGCCAACAGTCAAGTGCATGCGTGTGGAAGTGGATCCTCCAGCTCAGTCAAGCCTCAGATCAGGGCAGCCCCGGCTGACACCTCGGTTGTAGCCGCGTGAGAGAACCAGAACTGCCCAGCTAAGCCACCCCTGGATTCCTGAGCCTCAGAAAGCGGAGATAATAAACATCTGTTGTTTTAAGCCCCTGCGTCCGGGGTAAGTCGTTAGGCAGTGATGGAGAAGTGACACCCCCTCACGTACATCCAGGAACGAGGAGTTGACGACCAGGTTGCAGGTGCCAAGACAACAAGGGACCACATGGACTGTGCATTTGAAAATGTCACTCACATGGGATTAGCTCTTTTCTCTTCCTTTTCAGTCCTTGTCATCTGATCAGTTAGTCACTCAGGTCTTCCCTTCCCGCCTGCCCCCACCCTAATCCCACTGTGGGGGCAGCCCAGACCTTCTAGCTCTGTCTTTGGGGCTCTCCTCTCCTCTTGTGTTACAGAAACAAGAGGTTATAACTGTCTCCTGAATGGCAGGGGACCTAGTCTCTAGATATGTCCTAGAACTTGGTCACGTTTTGTCTCTGATTTTAGGCAACTGCCTAGTTTGGGACTTCGAAGGAAGGAAAATTCCTTCCCCACCCCACTGAAGCCTCCAGCTTACTCTGTGTGGTCCAGCCCAGGTTATCAGAGAGCTCCACCCTGGGAGTTCAGACATCAACACAGCAAATAATAGAGTAGTGACTTGACTTCTCTTCTACACTCCTCCCTTGGGACCCTCTTGGGGAGGGCTGGCTATGATGTGAGGCAGAATTCTGGCCATATCCTTCTCTTTAGACCAGAGTGTCCAAGGTAGCGAGCTGTGAATACGTTTCGAGCGTGCCCCAGCTATTGATCCCCTCGGGCCTTGAGATATTGATCCCCTCAGTCCTTGGAGCAGCCAAGTAGAGGCAGGGATGGCCAGATTCCAGGCCGGTCACCTTAGGGTGTGAGCAGTCTCTTAGGGTTTCCCCAGTAGACTGTACAAATAGTAACAATTTCCATGAGTGCAATGATGTGGAAGAAAAAGTCTGCAGCACTGCCCTCAACAAATATCTCTGAATGACCCCTACACACTCTCTGTCTTTGTTCAAGTCATGGATAAAAATGATAACAACACAGGGTCAAGGACAAAAACCCAACCACCGGGAATTTCCCTCTAGGTGGACACTGAGTCATTTATCAACACTGCGGGTGTTCCTCTAAATACTACTCCATGAAGACAGCTTTCCGTCTCTTCCATAGTTCTCCATCTGGTCCACGTGGACGTCACGACGTACCTTGTCGAATACTTTGCTAATTTTGCAATCCCAAATGAATTAGTGGATTAAGGTGGTCATCATCCACGGCTGATAACAACATATAAAAAGAGAACTATCCAATCATGGTGTATCTCCTGATGAACACTAGCTGTGCAGAGGGGCGCCAGTTATTCAGTATTCTCTCTCAGCTCCAAGACCCCTCCCCTCCCTGCTCTGAGATGCGGGACTGGCTCTCTGGGAAACACCCTTCTCCATGGCAGGTTGACCTCAGTTCGGCTCTGCCCACGAGGACGCTAAGGGGAGACGGGAAGGCAGGAGGAGGAAGGACTTACTGCTCCCTGCTGGCTTGCTAGATCTGACGCCATTGCTCCCGCGCCGACCCTTCACGTCCCCTCCGAGGACCCAGCAGCGGCAGCTGGGTGGTGGCCGCTGGGATGTCTCAGCCCCAACTCTGCACTTTAGAGTCTGTATCCGAACCGCTTTCCCTTGTTCCCCATCCCTGGGGATGGTGACGGCATCCCGTAATTATCACCTCTGCTGAAATGCCCAGTGTGGTTTCTGTTTTCCCTGCTGGACTCCTAAATGGTACATGAGTTTGCCAAAAATCAAAGAAAAAAAGGGAAATTCAACCTGAATATGATCAAATCTCTGTATCTAACCACCAATTTAAGCCGTCAAATTTTGTGGTAAAATTTAACAGACAATTAATACAGGTGTGATCCTGACATTGTGATTACGGTTTTCTGAGGCACAGTGAAATATTTATATAGGATTAGCTTCAAAATAATGGGGGGTGGAGGGAGAGAGTGTGGTTGCAAGTGAAACACGATGGGCCACAAGGTGAAAATTGTGGAAATTGTCGGATGGGTGGGTCAGGTTCATTATGCTATTCTTTCTATTTTAAACATTTTTTGATTTCCAAAATTAAAGTTTAAAAAAAACTTGCTCGATTCTTGTAGAGCTGTCAAAGGGAGAAATTACGTGACTCGACAAGATTTGTTCTCAGTGAGCCCCTGTTGGGTCCCAGTGACGCTCACCTCCTTTTCTAGACGCAAACCCTATACGTGACAAACCATCATCTTCTCTTGCTTGGAGTAAAGTGTGCCGGTCTGTAGTTTCAGAATCCACATTCTTCTCCCTTTGGAGAAGTAGAAGCGGGTACACCCCTCATCCATCTTCAGGAACACTTCCTACTCTGCGATTTCTCAGAGCAGTGAGGGAGGGAGGTAACTCAGCTACCCATCTCAGGCTTCCATTCCATGCTTGTATTGCCAAAGAGAAGAGATAGGAGTGAAATAGGAGACAAGGAACTCTGTTCCATTCATCCTTACAGGACGTTATGCCATCTTCCCCAAGCTCTGTGGGACCTAAAGCATAAATATATCAGCAAAATAGGAACCAAAGAAGGAGAAAGGCAATATGGAAAATAGTGTAAAATTGTCTATTTGCATTAAATAGGGCAAAGAGAGTCATTTGATATTGATAAAAGTTATGATCAATAGTGAAATCATAGCCTGATCCATGAACTTTAACGGGCCGGAGAACATGGCATTGAAATATATTAGGCAGAAACTCACAGAAGTGTGAGTAGAAATTGACAGAAATTGAATTATAGTGGAATACTTTAGCATACTTGTCTCGATCCTTGTAAGATCAAGAAGACAAACAATAAAGCAACAATAGACGCCAACTGTATCATTAACAGCTGAATTAATGGATATTGAGATCCTGCAAACAGAGACCATATCTTTTTATCAAGCATCTGGGCACCTGGACAAAATTGATCATATACCAAGTCACAAGTCAAACTCTAGTAAATTCCCAAAAGCAGGCGGTGTACAAGTTACCTTCTCTGACCGAGTGGCAGAAAACTAGAAACAAACAATACAAGTTTGAAAAACACATTTTAAAAGACAGCATTTGGAAATTTTTTTAAACAGATCATTTTAACTTAAGTAGTAGATGTTTTATTCCTGATTTTCTTTTTGCCAGAAATTTCACAAAAAGCCCTGTCTGCTATCCTTGATGTTTTAGAAAGACTCAGTTCATTTGGCCTTCCGTTTCCTGGAACTGTCTACTCACACCTGTCAGAGTGGGCGTCTGTTTTTGGGACCATCCAGTACCCACTTTATCTCCTTTCGGTAACGGTGCTTCATTTCCTTCTGGGCGGCCCCTTCCCCCAGTCGTGGTTCAAGGAGAGGGCTGGTGTTGACTTCACCTGTCCCCATCCCCTGTGGTGGACCTGTGATGTCAGCCTGGTCAATGAAAGCATTGCGTTCCCTGACCAGTGATTCATTCAGAAACAGCCACTTGAGCCAGTCCAGCCAATGAGACATTTGCTAGGGCTGCTGGCCTCCGTCTCCTTCTAGACTTCAACCTGGGAGCCTGTAAGTCTGAAACTGCTGCTGCCACCTGGTTATCATGAGAGGAACCCCTGTGTAAGAACGGAGCCAGCACGAACTCCTGTGCTGTGTCCCATGACATCATTTGTGCTCCTGAATCAAACCAGACCTGAAACCAGACCTACACTTAGACTTCTTAGTAAAATTCCTTTCAGTGTAATTCACCTCGCAGGGGGTTTTCTGTTACGTGGTCTTTTCTTCCCTCTTTGAACCTGCCCTTTTAAGCCTAATGTCTTTAGACACAATTCTTTTAATCTTCATTGAATTATTCAGAATTGAATGATCTAAATTGCATTTTTTTAGAGGTCGAAACCAAGAAGTCTTTCCATTCTTTCTACCACCCCACACTGCCTCCCTCTGGGCTACTGTTTCCTCAGGAAGGGACTCGGGGGCACCTCTCTGGGTCTAGTTCTGAGAAGCAGCCCACGTGAGCAGGAGGGAGCTTGGCGAAAAGGTAGGAGAGGTTGACTCAGTTTCCCCAGGGAAGAAGCAAGCAGTTCGGGACCCAGAGGCCCCAGTTACAGGCCTCTGGGAACGTGCCCAAGTCGTCCCTGTCCTGCCTCTGTGGAGCCGCCACACCGCTGTCAGCGTCAGACAAGCTGCAAGGGCACAGAGCCCTGGGACTGGGACCCCCCAGCAACACGGAGACCAGAGAGGAGAGGTCAAGTGTGGTCTCTAGCTGCCTTAACCCTGCCCCTGCCTATCTCCATGCCCAGGCCCTGACCACGGGGTAAACTGCCCACTCTGGATGGCAGTCACTCCCTCGCCGCCTGTTCCCACCCTGGGCGCTGAAGGCCTCAGATTTCATTGATCCCCAGCTGCAGGACAGAGCTCGCCTTCCAGCCAGCGGCCCAGACCCCAGGTCCTGCTCTTCACTGTTCTATGTCTGAATAGAAACTCTGGGACGCCCTGACGAGGGGAGAGAGATGTCCTCTTAGTCAGGGGAGAGGGCTGTCTTGGTATCTTTTTATTTCACGATCATCGAAGTTGAAGCTTCACAAATGAAAGTTTGTTCTGTTAGTCCCAAGGGTGTCTTTGTCCCCAAGGCAGATGGGTCCTGGGCCCTCCTGTCTCTCCCAACCCCTCCTCTACCTCTTGAAAGCATTTTGCATCAAGGTTCCCACCAAAAGAACCCTCTCTCATCATGTTCACACCAATAACTATAAAATAACTACCTCCTATTGGGCATCTACTATACCAAATAGTTCACGTCCATTATCTTTAATGTCAACACCAGCCCTTATATGGTGGGTGTGACTGTCCTCGTTTTACATGTGAAGAAACTGAGGCTCAGAGAAGTCATACGGGTGGTCAGGGGAAGAGTTGGGACTTGACCCCAGGTTGGCTGACCTTCCTCTTTCTACTGTTTGGCATCACCTCTCTCAGACCAACTGGGCCCCTGGAGCCAGGTACAAAGGTTCAGTGGATGGTGGATGGTCCATTCTCCTGTAAGCCCCTCCATTCTCCTGCAGTGTCACTTATATGGCTGTCCATCTACCCTGCTAGACAGTGAGCATCTCTAAGAGCTGGATCTGACCCCTGGACACGCCCCCACATTGTGCTTTGAGTAGGGGCATGGGGACACATGCCAAATTGGTGACTGCCCATGGCCCTTTGAAAAGCTTTTCATTTAGGAAAGCTCCCCCTGAGTTTTGCCTTCCCAAGTAGATTTCAGAAGTCAATTCCCAGGCCCTCTCGCAGCGAGGACGCACACACGCAATGTGGAGTTCCTGATTCCGAACTGAACCTCCGGCAAAAGCAGGCACAGCCTTCTGTTTTGTGGTCCAGCTTTCTGGGTGGCCTCAGTTACAAGGTCAACTTCCGGTGGCAGAAGAGACCGCGGCTGCAGTGAAGTCGGCTCCTGGCTTCCAGCTCCGCGGCAGCTGCTGCAGCGGCAATAACACCCCCTCGAGCCAGCGGGGTTCTGAGAGTTTCTCCGGAAAACCTCGCCCCCGGTCTTTCTCCCGCCCTCCCAAGGACTCTGTGCATTTACCTCGTGGAGTTTAATAAATCCCTTTTCTGCTTAAACTAGCCATGGAGGGTTCCAATATTTGCAACTCAGTAAATGTTTGGCAAACAAACATTTAAAAATCACCTCCCACGCTGGAGGCTGGAGAGGAAGCCCCTTGCCCAGCCTGTCTAAGCCCCGCCCCTCCGCTTCCTCTCTAGATGCTCGATCCGCGCAAGTGGGACGCAGCCCCAGGCGTTGTGGTACCTGGCACAGAGCCTGGCACACAGTAGACCCAAGGAATATTTATCGATTGTTAGATTTCTCCTAACTCGCCTGCATCCCAGGATCCCCTGAGCTGCTTTTTGAAATTCCCGTCCACTGAATTCTTTGCATCTGCCGGGCGCTGGCTAGAGCGCTTTGCAACTACCAGCTCATCTCATCTTCAGGGCGCCTTATAAGGTGGGTAGGATCATCAGCATCTTGCAGATGAGGACGCCGAGGCTTGGACACATGAAGGTCACAGCCTGGAAGCAGCAAGGTCAGGCTTGTGCCCACGACTGTATGACTCCAGAGCCTGAACGCCCCACCCGCCTCGCTCTGCAGCACAGAGGCTGGCCTGGGAGGTGGGCGTTTGGCCGTGGGAAGTCCAGATGCCAGCAGGGGAATATGGCCAACTCCAGGAAGCCCGACTGGAGATTTGGGAATCAATGGCTGGGTGGGCCGGAGGCCCAGATGCTCTGAAACGGGAAAACTTAAAGCTATTGTACTTTTGTCTTTTAAAAGCAAACGTCATAAAAGAATTTCTGAACGCCTGTGGCTATTGTCGAAGGCTGCACAATGGTTTGCGCATTCCCCTCGGTCGAGGGCTCTCTCAAACTCGTGAGGATCAGTGCAACAACGATCTCTGTCTTTGCTGGAGGAGCTGGAGCAGGCTCCAAGGGCCCCTGTTATGGGCTGAATGTTTGGGGCCCCTAAAAAATGCGTATATTGAAATCTAATCCCCAATGAGATGGTATTGGGGTGGGGCCTTCGGAAGGTAATTGGCCAGGAGGATGGAGCCCCCGTGAATGGGATCAGTGTTCTTACAGGAAGAGGTCAGAGAGCTAGCTCCCCCGCCACCCTCGCCAGGATGTGAAGACGCAACCGGAAGTCAGTGAGGACACACCGGAAGTCAGCGTCAGCAGCCCAGAAGAGGGTTCCCACCAGAGCTCGCCCCTGCTGGCACCCTGATCTCCAGCTTCCAGCCTCCTGAACGATGAGAAGTAAATCTCCTATTTACAAGCCACCTAGTCTGTGGTATGTTGTGATCGCAGCCCAAACTAAGACAACCCTCCTTCCCCAGGGCTTCTCCCCGCTCCTTGGCTCCCGGGTAGGGCTGCTGGGGCAGGAAGTGGGGCTGCCGGGGGGACACAGGTGAGAGCACCTCCCACCAGATAACTCTCCTCTGCTCCGACAGGTGGTGGGCCCGGAAGACGGGGATTGGAGAGAGAAGGAAGGTCGGCTAGGATGCTAACGTTCTTCCTCACAACACACAGAACTCACTCACAGGCCCGTGTTGGGGGGTGGGACACACGGGCTGGTTGAAGAGGGGTGCAAGCATCATCCAAGGCTTGTTAGTGTGAACACAGACCTTGCTCTGAAGAGATGCCAACGAGATGTCAGGAATGCATGACCTCTGCTTGCGAAGGCCAAGGTTCGGGCTAGCTCGAGTTGGGCCTCCAACTCAGAGTTTGTAAACTACAGACCAATGGGCTGAATCCATCACCTGGGTTTTGTTTGGCTGGGAAAGTGCTTCCTCCCCCCCCGCAAAAAAAATTTTAAATTATTTTCTAGCATCTTCTAGCTGGGAGGTTTTACAGTCAAGTGAGCCCCAGGGCTTGACAAGTACGGGGTCCTTTAAGAGTGGGAAGTGAAAGTGTATTTAGTTAAATTAAGCATGCAGATACACCTTTACCTGAAGTCCCCTCCTGGATGTCGATCCAAGAGAAATAGTCACGCAGATCTGGAAGGAGAGGGCAGCATCTCTGCTTCGGTGCTGTTTGTGGTAGGGGAGAGGGAGGAGGTTTAGAAGCAACATAGGCCTCCATCGCTGGGGGATGGATAAATGTGGCGGATACAGCAATTAGAGGCAACAGCCTGGAGGTACAAACAGCAACCTGGATAGATCTGTAAAAACATAAGTGCTGAGAGAGGAAAAAATAGAATTAGGTTTTTAGCACACTATTATTTACATAAATTAAAATACATGCACATAAAATAATATAGGTTTCCTAAAATCGTAAAGATAAAAGCAAGGGTATTGAGCACGTCGGGTGCAGAGGAAGGAGCCAGAAGTGGGACAAGGAAGTAACAGAGAAATTCACAGATATGCTCGCATGAACCAAGGATGCCAATGTCAGGGACTGAGAAGGGAGCTTAAATCAGTGCTGAGTTTCCTGAGGTTGAACCTGAAAAAGCCTGGAGGTGGGTCCCTTACAGGCCAAGGGAGAGGGATAAAGGGCTAAAAGGGGAGGGGCCCTAATGTTTCTCTCCATGAGTGCCCCACGTTGGGCCTCAGACTCCCTGGGCCAAGCTGTGGAGGACTTAACTAGGTCTGTTCATTATCCCTCCCTAACGGTAGTACTCACGTCACAGCTGTCCTGCCCTCCAAAAGCTCACGGCCTGGTGGGTGTTAGGAAAGTGACCAGGCCTCGGAGGTGTGCGTGTGGGGCCGACATACAGGAGCATCTAACCCAGCTCGGGGAGTCGCAAGACCCGAGCTGAGACCTGAACAGGGGGCTCAGGCTGCCTGAGTGACTCTCAGTAACTCGCCGGGGGGCTTTTGGCGGGTCCCTTCCCGATCTGAGCTTCAGTTCACTAAGTAACAAAAAAGAAGGTTGAGCGCTAATCTGGGAGGTTTGCTAAATTGTGAGGTTCCATGGACGTGCTTGAGGAGCCACTGCAACATCCAGAGTGACCGAGCAAGGCTCTCGGTCCCTGTCCAAGCCTCAGTTTACCTTTTGTGATGAGCTCAGAGATGTGCAGTGCAGATGTTTACCCTTCGAGGAAGCGTGCGGTGCCCTCTGCGCAGAATGCCCCTCCAGCGTCCACCTCAGCTGCAGAGAGCCGCTGTCAGAGGTCACGCCCTTCCCAGGGTGGCCCACCTCCCATGACTGACCGAGAAGGCTGGTGGGATAAAGGCCTGGCGGGGTTCAGACAGCACTAACAGACCGCCGCCAGCTGCAGCGTGCCCTGGGGTTGGCCTGTGCTGTCCCTGGACCTGCACCCCAGCCTGACTGCTCCTTCTGCCCAGTCCTGCTTCCTGCCCCCACTTCCTCAGGACCCATCCACGGAGACTCCCTGATAAACGTCCTGTACGTGAAACTTGTCTCAACACCTGCTTCCCAGAGAACCCAACCTCGAACACTATTTGATATAGGAAAATTTGCTTAGAAAGCAGCCAAAACAACAATGTTATTTGTTATCGACCAGTTATTAATTATTAGTCGGCTGCCAAAAAATAACCAACTTGAAAACAAACAGATGAAATTCCCCTCCAGCTAGAACATTCGACAAGAGCAGCCAAAGAGTCAGTCGTCAAACGCTGCTGACTCGGGGAGCACAGCTTCAAAAGCCTGAGCTGAGCCCAATGCTGAGTGTGTGGTTTTGAACATCAGATAACAGTTTTAGTGTTATTTTCTATAATAAGCTCTCTTGGGTATTTCCTAGTGGTTTCATTTATTAATTACCCTCACTTTGAGCAGAATTATTGATTTATGGGCACAAAGTTTGCTTTTTTTTCCGCTTCAGGATACTGTTTTCTTGAGAGTCAGGTTTACACAAAGAGCTAAAATGGTCACAGCCACCTGAACCCCAGGCATCTGGCGGGGTTTTATTGTAAAAAGGAAAGAAAAGAAGAGAGTAGAGAAAAGAAAAGAACAACTCAGGGAGGGGAGTGGGGAATAATAATGACATCAGTCCTCATTAATTGCACACCTACTGCATGCCGAGAGCTGAGCTGAGAGCTTGACAAAGCATGAGCTCACGTACGGCCACCGGGTGAGCTGGGACTTTAATAATCCCATCGTATGTATGCAAGACTGACGCTCAGGGTGATTAAAGGATTCGCCCAAATTGCCAGAGCTAGTAAGTGGCAGAGCCAAGACTTGAACCCGCATCTCTGACTACAAAACCCGGACACCAGGCCCACACCACCTGCACCAGTCAAGTCGCTCTACCAAACTCTCGAGGCCAAATTCAGGTGCCAGCTGCTAATAGCGCAAGAGGTGAGGCAAGACATACCGCTGTGGTCCTAGAAAGAACACCAGTTGAAACCAGTTGCCATCAGAGAGTGTGGCCTTGTGATGAATTAACCTTTGGAGGGCCCCTGAAGCCTTCTGCGAAGCGTGGGAGCCAGTTGTCTGGGGGACACCAGCCTAGGGCGTGTCCCCAGCAGCTCCTGGCACAGAGGTCTTGTGTCCCTCGGCCCCTTGCTCTGACCCCATCAGCCCACAAAAAGAAGGCACAGCTTTGTTTTGGAAGCCCAACCCCAAATCGGGCCAGCTCTGCTCCTCGCAGCACAAGGGTTGCCATAGCAACCATTTGAGGCAGCTGAGACCTTCAGCTAGAGAAGAGATCCCCCGCAGAGGGAGGGAGATGGGACCACGGAGGAGAGGTGGAGACGGAGCTTCTCGGAGGGTGCGTTGATTCACCTCGTTCTCTTCCCGTGGGGAGAGGGGCCCACGTCAGCTCGGAAAAGTGGGCACATGGAGGGTCACAGCAAGACTTCTCAGGCACGCAGAGAAAATGATCAAATTTGCACAGCACATCGGGGCGAACCAGAGGTCACTTGGCATCAACTATAGGGAACTGGGTGAAAAACACTGCATTAACTTTCTTTATATTAACTAATTTTGATAAGAAAAATAAGTACAAAGTAGTAGACAGAGTACTAAATATTGAATATGTATAAAACTTCCCAATATAATCTTTTCCAAAACTTTAACGAGAAAAGAGCTTTCTTCCATGAACACAGTTTTTTTCAGATTAGGCTTTACGTGTGAAATGGCCATATAAAATTCTTGATGGGGCTTTTTAATGATGATCTCTTGAAATTCTTGAAAGTAACTATCAACAGGAAACTTTTGTTCACACAAGGACATGATAAAAAATGTAAGACCATTTTATAACCATTCAAAAATGTGTAACACTTGAAATTATATTAAAAACATCTAAGAGCTCTTCCTTTTCTTTCTTCGACAAGTGTAACGTTGAAATTTCTCGTGATAATGTGAGTGGATTGTGAATACAAACATTTCATATCAAGCATTTCAAAATAAACGATGAAGCGCTCATTGGCAAAGCGT